TTCTAAATCAGTAATTTTTGACCCTGGCTGCACATTAGAATAGTCTGGTTCCATCCAATGCCAGGCTCCATTCAGACCAATTAAATCAGAATCACTGAGGGTAGGTCCCAGGCGTAGGTATTTTTAAAAAGCTTCTTGGGTGATTCTACTTCACAATCGGGTTAAAAAGCACCATTCTAAATAAGGGAGCTAGAAGTGAGAGTCAGAGATATTAAGTAATTCTTATCTTTGAGTCTATACTATGGAAATCAAAAAAGAAAGGAAAATGTAAGGGTACTATTTAAGTTGCTAAACTGCAATTGAAATAAATTATACTTCACTTCTATCTGAAGAGAAGACAAGACATTAATTTTTGAATTATAAAACCAATAGCCCCAAGGGTTCATATCCCTGTACTGGCCAGCTGCCAAAAAAAAGAAAAAAAGAAATAAAAACAATAGTCCTAGCTATACAAATGTGTTTAAAAAATTGGTACTAAAACTGATCTTTTTTCTTCCTCACATCTAAAACACTACTGGAATCTTGCCACAAGTAAGACTCTACTATCAAAACCAATCAAGATTCTTTCATTAATTACACAAACATTTGTTAACTTTATGGTATATACCAGACACTGTATCAAGTGAAAGAAACAGTGGCAAATACGATAGGAACTATGGGTGAATAAGCTCCCATATGAAAGGTTCAGTCTATCATGGAAAATAGACAATGACCAAATTGTAAGTATGATAACAGTTATAAAGGTAGGTATAAAATACCAAGTGCTACAGTGCCTGGGGGACTGAACTAGTCTGGAGGATTAGGAGACGGGTAGAAGGAGTTGGAAAAATCAGGGAAAGGGGCCAGCCCGGTGGCGCACTGCTACAGTGCGTTGCTTGGGAAGCGCGGCGGCGCTCCTGCCGAGGGTTCGGATCCCACATACAGACCGGTTCCCGCTCACTGGCTGAGCGAGGTGTGGGTGCAGCACCAAGGCTTGCGATCCCGTTGCCGGTCCCGGTCCGGTGCGGGCGTGACACTGAGGGTTGCGATCCGTGGCCGGACACGAAAAAAGACAAAAAGGGAAAAAATAATAATAATAATAATGTAATAAAGTTTCATAAAAAAAAAAAAAAAAAAAAAAAAAAAAAAAAAAAGGATGATGTTAAGCCTTTGAACTTCATCCTCAAAACAATGGGAAATCATGGAAAAGTTTTAAACAAAGGAGTGACAATCTTTTTGCAAACTGACTCATGTACATTTTTGCTATCTCTGTACTATAAGAATGCTCTGACCAACATTTCAAGAAACCTGGAGGTAATAATCTTATAGAAGGGATAGAATCACTCTCTCTTGCTTCCTCTTGCCATGATCTGCTTGTACCCACCGGCTCCCTGCTGCTTTCCACCATGAGTAGGAACAGCCTGAGGCCCGCACCAGATGCAGCTGTTCCAGAATCGTTTAAATCAAATCTCCAACCAGGCATACCACCAGCACCACAGGGTCCGCACAGGGACCTGAGGTATGGAGTCGGGACCAGACCCTCCTCCCACAACCAGGCACACTGCCAGTGCCATGGGGCCCACCTGGGAGCCACCAGCAACTAAGTAAGGAGCATGCCAAAAACTTTACCTCCATGTGGGTGGCCCACCACAGCCACCACAATAACCATGGCTGCTGCAAAAGTGGCTAGATGCCACAACCTGCGTGCAGATGGTCTGCCAGCCACTGGAGTACACTGACACAAGGAGAGTCACCATCTGAGACCAAAGAAAAGAAGAGGATGTCTCTCTCTCCACAAAGCCCATTCCAGAGAGACAGAAGAAGTATCTGCTCTATAATACTGGGGGACCTGAACACACCTCGCAGCATTGGACAGATCATCTAGGCAACAAATCAACAGAGTAACCATTACTCTTTCAGAAGGAGAGAAGAAATCTAGGGTTATCAGAGGTGGGAGAGGGGAAGGAGAGGGGGATGGGGAGAGACTGGACAAGGGGCATAAAGAATAAGTACAATTTGTAACAATATATATGCAAGTAATATTGATTTGATCAACATGTCAACGTTAAACCCCAAGAATATGTATAATCAATTATGAGTCAATAAAAATTAACAAAAACCCCAAAATAAACAAACAAAAAAAGTGATAGAATCATCAAACTATCATTGCTTAATCACATTAATCATTATAAGTAGTCACTAAAATCTTTCTACTTGAATTTCATTTTTATTAAAGCAAGATTTGGATTGTAATATGGCAACGGTGCTGGCTGGTCATTCTAACCACATCAAGATTATTTGACACTATGTATCTCATTGGAAATTAGAAAATTAACACTGTTTTATTAGTCAGCTTATTATGAGTAGCTCTATGCCCCCATTTAATGGTTTATTTACATGGCCCCTATTTATAGTTCTGTCTGCCCAGAAAGCATCCTCCATCTGTGGAAATGCTCCCATGGTTTTGGTGGGAGAGCTATCAATGATAAACTTCACTCCCCTAGCCTAGGAATTAGGGATATGACCTAGTCTGGGCCCCTCATTGTATTCATTTCTTCCCAGCTACAGTGACTGATCCAAAAGGTGGGCACATGACCTAGATTGGGCCAGTCCTCTAGATTCAAACACTGAGGCAAGAAGAGAGATGCTTTTATAAACAAACTGTTTAAGGGTGTGACCCCAGAGCAGCTGATGGAGAAGACTGAGAAAGCAGAGACAAGAACTCATGAGAGGCAGAGGCAGTCCTGATGCATTATGATACCTGGGTCTAGTCAATTCCCTCAGACAGGCAGCACCACTACCTTTTTGGATGTAGTTACTTTTTCTTTATTTTCTTGCTTAAGCTAGTCTAAATTGGTCCTTATTACTTAGAACCAAGAGACCAAACACCCAGTGCTATGAAATAAGAAATGAATTGGCTTTCAGTAGACAGTATGTGCATGATTATCCACTACGCTTTAAGCATTACCTCTGTCCCTGAGGTATAACATGAAATATCTTTGGTCTTTATCCCCGCTGCTTCCAGTCACAGCCCTCCTAAAACACTTAGAATTTCCTTCGTGATAGGAGTGTCTCTTATTATTCATAATGACCCACTTCAGATCACACCTGAGTTTATGCTAATGGACGTGACTTAGGATGAGGCCGGTCACCCGAAAAACCACAAGATTAGAAGGTTGGAAGACTTTCAGCATCACCCAATGACCCCAGGAAGGGTGGATGGGAGGGAACTGGAGATTAAGCTCTACAAGAATTCTTTGATTTCATGAGCTTCTGGGTTGCTGAACATGTGATGGTAGTGTGCTCCTTCCTCCAACCTCACTTAAACTCTCTTCCTTCTAACTGTTCATCTGCATCATTTGTAATGCCCTTTAAAATAAGCTGGTAAACGTGTTTCCCGGAGTTTTGTGAGCAAACCTAGCAAATTAATCGACTCCATGGAGGGGGTAGTGGGAATAGCCAGTGGGTCAGAAGCATAAGTGGCAACCTACTACATGTGACTGATGTCTAAACTGGGGGGCAGTCTTGAGGGACTAAGACATTAACCTGTGGGATTTGACTCTAATTTCAGGTAGTGCCAAAGTTGAACTGAATTATAGGACACCCAGTAGGTTTTCTGGAGAATTGCTCAGTGTGTGGGGGAAATCCCCCACACATCTGGTAGTGTAGAGATACAGTGTGTTTTCTACAGTTCCACATAGGGAAGAAGAAAGCTCTATTCCAAGTAAGAATTTATAATTTTTACAGGGATAAGACATATTACATACACAATAAAAGATTAAATGCAAAGTCTGAGAAAGTTTTAAACTAAAACTTTTCTTAAGATTAGGAAGGGAAGAATTGAGGTGTATTAAAAACAACAGAAGGCCCTCCTGTGTCTTGTGACATTGTGTTACCTTGACAAATTACTTATTCCTGGTAAACTACAATTTCTTCACCTGAAACGTGGGAATGCTCTACATTATTTCTAAGGTTGTTTGCAGTGGGGAAATTACTGAATCATTTTGAGGACATAAAAGTATACTCACTAATATTACTGTAGTTTAAAGAAAAAAGTGTAAATTCATTTTTCCAACTAGCCTAAATATGACCTTCTTTTTTCTTAATAGTCTACTCTTAAAACATATATAGTTCTCAAGCACCACTGCCCCAAACAAGAGAGCCCTCCATACAAGAACTGTGAACCCCAAATGAACATACTCAATAAATAAAATGAATATTTGGAATAAATTAAATGAGCTCTTAAAAATAGGGCTTTACTTTTCCAGTTAGTTTAAAGATTTTTAAAACTCTAGAATTTCAGATTTCTTTCTTTCTTCATATTACTTAAGCATAACCGAGTATCCTTGTCCTGTTACTAATTTAGATTACAAAAAAATTCTAATTTAGTAGTCTGCAATACTATAACTTATTTTAAACTAGCAATAGATTGGGGGGGGGGGCAAACGTCAGGCAGAGAAGGTAAGGTAAAAAGAACCCCGAATTAGAAATCGGAAGACCAAGGTATAAAAGGTTTTTATACCTAACTTTCCTTCATAGGTTAAGATTTCAGATCCAATGAGTTGGCTTTATGACATTTTCTTCTGTTGGCCATAGCTTTGCTTAAAAACACGAAGAACTTTGGGAAACTTTTCGAAGGCACGCTTCCAAATTTCAGGCCCGGGGTCTATTCCACACGTGGGGCCATGTATTCCACAGTGAATCGTGACACCAAAGATATTCCTCAAGTTGAGATTAAAAACAACTCTACCCTCGTAGTGCTTTGGCAATAAAAGGGGAACCTAACTCCAAGTAAGTCCTAGACGCCGAGCCTAGGGGGTAAGGGACTGCTTTAGGAACTCAACCTGAGTCAGAGCCGACAGCCTAAGGGCCAGAGGCTCCGCCCAAGAGGTCCAGGGACGCCCTCACAAGACAACTGGGCTCCTGAGTAGTTGGAGGCTGCGACCGTTGGGGCCTGGGTTCGCCCCTCAGCAGGAGCCACAAGGGGAGGCCTGTGCGTGGCAGTCACCCGACAGACTTACCTCAGCGTCTTCTTTGCCCTGTGGGAGGGAAGGGAACTCCAGCTTCACGTCCTCCATGGTCCCGGCTCTCGGGCTAGTAGGTGGGGTGGGAGGTAAGTTATCCGGCCCGCCCGACCCTACGGCCGGCAGTGGCGGCGAAAGGAAGCAGGGCCGGTGGAGGAGGACTGACGGGCGGGAAGTGGGCTTACAACTAACAGACGCAGGCCAAAGGGTCCCAGCGACCCCGGCGGCGGCGGCGACAGCGGGGAAAAGGAGGGTTGAGAGGGTCGTACCCAGCCGCCATGCTGCTGGCGTCTCCCTCCCCCACGAGTCTCCGCGCCCCTCAGGCAGCCCAGAATCCGGCACAGGCACGAGACCTACAACCGTCTCCCCTCCTTCCTCCCGCCCCCTCCACCCACGCCGCCCCAGCCAATCCCAGCCCACGCTAGGTATATGCTTTCTCTGATTCTAGGGAGATACTATTATCCTTTTTGCTATTAAACATACAAGGAAACACAAGCTTCGAAGTGGAAGAAGCTGCACAAAAATTTGTACACCAAGTTTCTTGTTTCAAGTTTTTTTCTTCAAAAAACTGCCAGCACAAAAGTAAAAAGGCAAGATAGTCACTCATTAACTAAATGCAAATTACAATATATAAAAGTGAAAGGATCACATGGATATTTGATTTAGACTCCCCCCCCACACTATCACTCTATTACTTTTTATATTGTCAAATATATGTACTGTCAGCACATGGAAATAGAACTGTTCATTAATTTGTGTATTAGATGTCCACTTGAGTGCTCCACTTTCTCTATGTAAACTGTTTTCCACCTTTTAAAATTATGAAAAGGCACACAATACTGTGCTAAGTTTTTAATGTGAAAAATGATTGTATAATTAACTAGGTTGGCTGGTTCTTTAGCTTTTATGAAACAAGTTGAAAATTGTTTTTTTCTGGCAGCTGACAGGTATAGGGATCGACTTTTTTTTTTAACAGCAACTTTAATAAGGAGATAATCTCAGTAGATGCCCAATGATGATTCTCTTATTTAATTTGGCATTTTTGTGTGTATGTATGTGAAAATATATCTGGAAAGAGGGTCTAGACCATAACATTCTAAAAAGGGACCTATCACCTCACATAAACAAGGAAAATGAAGTCATATTTATTAGCAAATATTACTTTTAACCATAATCTAAAAAAAGTTATGGATGTACATGTAATTTTTCTACTATCGAATAGCCAAATCAAAGTAGGTGAAGAGTAAATACTTTCTGGAAAGAGGAATATATATAGACATACCCACACATCTATGTTATATATAACAAGATAAAGCTCATAAGCATTGAGTGTGAGTACTATTCTAAAGTAAAATTCAAAAGTCTACAGTCTAAATACAACTTCATCTGGCTTATCAAGTAAGTAGTTTACTTACTAAAGAAACTAAAGGACTATAGTAAATGTACTCTTAGAAAAGACAAAAATATATGTAGGAGAACTGAATCAAATTTTATTCAACGTTTTAGGATGAGGAAAACAAATGATATAAAATGTCATAAGAAATGCTCTCTTGCACTACTATCGTCAAACCATTTTCAGTGTTTTACAAAATGCTCACACAGCAAACACGAAAAGTTTCAATACTCTTTTGTAACTTTTGATGCAATAAGTGCAACATTAAGAGACATACAAACTTCTGTACCAATCTTAAAAGCTGAATTACTAATTTTTATGATGTTACTCATATATATTTTTATTCACACACTTTTAATATCATTGCCAATACATACATTATTTTACCTAACTTTATTTTTACATTAGGCCAATGTCTGTCATGCAGCCATCAAAAACCTTACAGTAAATTACACAGGTTTATAGTCCAATTTAGATTCTAGCTTCTTAGAATCAGCCACTTTTCTGACTGCTTTCATGAAGTCTTCCTGTACTACAAAATCATGATCAGCACGAATTGCAAACATACCTGTGGAGAATAAAACAACATGATTGCTACATAGCCATGTGATTTATATGTTCATTATAAGAAAACTAAATAATGTAATTTTATGGAGTAAAGGTGAAGGAGCCTAGATTTACTACTTCTGAGCCAGTAGTTCTAACTTGTTAAAAAACCTCTATCCTTGTTCAATTAATTTCCGTAGCTATGGTGAACATTATTTTCCAAACCAAAAACAAGCGAGACAATTATCTGAATATTTAAGATATGACTTGCATAGTCCCTGTATCTAATGATAGCTCTTAATAAAATAAAAATCAAAAACCAAAAACAAACCAAAACTATTGACAACACATATACATTTTAAGCGGTAGTTTCTTAACTCCATAGGCAATGATTCCCTGGAAGGAGGAAGCACATTTATGAAAACAAACAAGCAAACAAACAAACAAAAACACCTCCAGTAGTCTGACAGTACTTCCTTATTAATAAGCAAAGGCTTACAGAATAGGAAATTACAGAAATTACAGAAAGCCAACTTTAAAGCCCCCCAGTGGGCTTTAACAAAAATCGGAGCCACTATTCACGTACTAAAATTTACCTTATTTATATACAAATTGATATTTTTACATGACTTATATTCAAGTATCACAACTCAATTTTTTCCTTTAAATTTCTGACAAATTACTTGTCAGATACTACTTGACAAGGGGATAAAAGTTTTTTGTTTCTATTTTCTTTTTAAACATTAGTTGTATCATGGATATGGATCCCAAATTTCAAGATAATACTAATATCATGATAAACTAAGGCTGGTAAGGTATCACTATCTACTAATTAGATGAATTCTACTAATATTTCCATCGAGGATCTACTTGTATTGAATTTTCACTTACATAAAATGAGGGGGCTATAATAGAAGATTTCAAGAGTTACTTCCTATCTTTACTTTCTAGATTTCTATAAAAACAGCCTTGGAAATAGCCATTCTATGTTGTCCTAGAAATCAAGAGAATGGAAATAACTGATTTTTCAAAAGTGAAGTTTCAAAACTTGTTTGGAAAGTTACAACTAAATTTGGGTAAGTTATTTTTGTAAACCTTGTGCGTATGACTGTTTTCAAATTACTGTTTAGTGAATGTGTAAATCTGCAAAAGAGATACATTCTAATCCAAAAAGGATGATAACATCAGGACTTGAATTGAAAAGTCTACTATAATTGAATCAAGTATATTTTTATTTACAGAAAGATATGTTTAAAAAGCTTGAAGTCTAATAAAATGGAAACCAAATAAGAATTTCTGTATGTCTACAGATGTGAATGTCCGACCAAGTTCAAAAACTAAAATTTTAATACACACAGAAGCTATATCTCTTTATTGGGAACAATGAGATAAATTTTAAAAAATATGTAGGGCAAAAAACATCATAATTTGATAGCATCAGCCTTTAAGATCACAGCACTACTTTTGTTTGGATTCCAAATTCACCGAAACAATCTTGATAAAAATTTGGTCTAGTGTAGATTTTAGAAAGAGAATATCATAAATTACTCCAAACAGTTCAAGCCATATAATAGTTTACCTCTTAATATTTTTGTTTACTAAGTCTCTGTGAGCATGATTTACTGATTTGTATTGACAGTTTCCAGCCATGCAGATCTCTGATCCAGATACTGAGTCATAATATACTCATGAAGATATTCCTAGCCTCTTTAAAGAGTCTGTTGAATTTATAAGAAATGTTAAAATAAGTCTACCCATGGTATGAAAAACAAGAGGAAATCACATATTGCAATACTTAAAACAATTAATCTACAATATATGAAGTCACTAACTATAAAATCTACTTTAGAAATTTATTTTTTCAATCTTAAGATTCTGTATGTTTGTTTTTAAAATGTCCCTGGTTCATACAGAAGTACCAGCAAAAAGAGTGATTACAGCTAGGTAAAACCACTAGGAGGCTTAAAAAAAAAAAAAAGTTCAGAGGGGCCAGTCCATGGCTCACAAAGACTAGTTGACTGTAGATAGGGCTTAAAGCCACTTGGTACCAGAAATGAAAATAGTATCACACAATCCACAGAAGTTCAGAGGGGCCAGTCCATGGCTCACAAAGACTAGTTGAATGTAGATAGGGCTTAAAGCCACTTGGTACCAGAAATGAAAATAGTATCACACAATCCACAGAGAAAATTATATTTAAAAATTACAACATTTTACACAAATTGCATGATCACAGGATTCATAAATCAATCATTCAAAGCTTATTGGTCACAGACTAGTATCAGAAAACATGTTAACTGTTTTGTAGCAAATACTTCTGGTGCTGGCATAGTCGAATTCCAGCCACAGATGTGGTAGACAGTTCTGTACAGCCTCAGACTTACTTTAGGGGGCCAGTGTTCTATCACATGCCTGTCTTTCCATATTCTGTCCTAAGGCATCCAGAAATGCAAAGGAGTTAACATCCCTAAGAGCAAATCTCATCCAACAGGGGATGATTGCTGGTAAATAAATATTCCAGTCTCCCATCGTTCTGCTGGGTATTCCTGAAAGGCATTTTGTATATTTCTATGAGGTCTCGTCAAAATCTAACCCCCCTTTTGCCTACAGCAGCTACCTCAATAGTACACCCTTATTTTACCTTTCCCTCTTTCCATCTCACTTGCCCTGTTCTCTTCTGCTTCCTGGAATTAATCTGCAAAAAAAACAACATGCACCCAAATCCCTGCAAGGCCCAGGCTCTGCTTTTAGACAAACTCAAACAGTTTTAGCAAATTTAAAAAATCAACATCAGTAGTAAAACTGTACTTTAAACTCTTACCTGCTTCAGTACAGACATTTCTCAGGTCTGCTCCATTAAAGCCATCTGAAAGCTTCACAATTGCTTCATAATCTGTTTAGGAAAAAAAATACTGGAAATTAGTAAAAAAAAAAAAAAAATTAAATCTTTTCTTGACTTATGCCACATGGAAAATTTGAACTAAAGTGTTTGCTTTGAATATGATCAGCTAGGCATCACCTCTGTTAACATTCACAATATTAAGAACCCAAAACTAAGACTTCTATTAAGTAAACTAGCACTAAGCAGAAATAAACACACCTCCGAAACTTTAAAACCAGGAAATACCATCAAGACCTGAAAGCACCTTAACCTGTTTTTACACAGTGAAACGCTACGCACATGTGAACTATAAATATGTCAAGCTATGACTCTTATTATAATAATAAAATTTATTTATTTTTTTCCTTTTTGTCTTTTTTACTGACCGGTAACGGGATCGCAACCCTCGGTGTTGCGCCCATACCGGGGACTGGCAACGTGATTGCACCCCTCGGTGCTGCGCCCGCACCGCGCTCAGCCAGTGAGCGGGAACCGG